TCATAGTTTTTTTTTTTTAACTATAGTCCGGCCCTCCAAAGGGTCTGAGGGACAGCGGGCTAATGCATTCACTGCAGCTTGAACTTCTTCCTTCGGTCCCATTGGCTCTTGGTCATATGCCACCTCCTGAGATGGTGGACTGTCGACTACTTGTTTTGGGTATAGTGACTCTATGTATTCTTTCCATCTTCTTTTGATGCTTCCTGCATAATTGAACACATTCTGCCCATAGAATCTTTCAATGTTGCAACTCCAGGCTTGAACTTTGTCTCGAGTTCTTTCAGTTTAAGATGCGCTGGAGCATGTTCTTCCTTTTTGGTTTTCTAACTCTAGGGCTGGGCCAATCTGATGATAGCATTTCATGATAATATTTTACTACAGGCCAAGGTTGTCCATCCTGCTTTTCTAACCCTTCCCTGGGCACAGGAACCATTCTCGTCTGTCATTCCATGACACCCCTGCCTGACACATGGGCCCATGAGCACAGGTGGGGCAATAGGACTTGATGACCAGTAAGGCAGCAATGGCCAGGCCACCCCTCTCACCGCACAGGAAGCAGCACCTCCCTCTGTGCTCGGTGTGTCTCACTGCACCTTCCCTGGGTGGGCCAGAACAAGCACGTACAAAATTAGACAAACCTGGTCCCCCATCCTCCAACACTCGTGAACAACAGGACGAGTGATGCTTGGAGAAGACAGTCTTCTCCTACCGCTGTTTGTCCCTCAGTCAGGGATGTTCATCAGGACATGTCACCTCAAAGATCCAGAGATGAACTCCCAGGATCTCATTGAGCACTGATGCATTCCTAGCACCCACCACAATGCTGGAGTGTCTGCGTTTATGGGCTTTGTCCTCTGCCATGAAGCTTTTTAAAATTCTTGTTCTCGTTTTAATGCTCTTGAATATTGAGGGAGGGGGACAGTGGGGTTTTGCTTGGGCTAGGGGCTATGTTGAGCAAGGCTTCAGGGCCTCAACAGTGTCTCGATGAGTTCAAAGTCTCTCACCTTATCTCTTCTCAGCTCTTGACTTTGCTGAGAACTCAAAATTCTGAAGGTCTTGGTCTAGCTGATGTCCCAGCCCTAGCGCCTGGGACTTTGGTCAGACCTCAGGCTGGTCTAAGACAGGTAAGGAGCCTATGAGTACCTGGGAAGGACCTGTTGTCCCCTAAGTCAGGATGTGAGCCCATCATCCATTCTTCCCCACCTTATGGTCCTTTCACCCTTCCGAGTCTCTTTGATGCTCTGCTCCATCCATCTCTCCCCAGCCCACGAGAAAGTCCCCTCCTTTGACCTTTTTGGGAATGCACTGGCAAAGCAACTGGAGACTGCAGGTTTGACAACCTTAGGACTTCCCTCCCTCCTCTGGGCCCACAAGGGCCCCACTTCCTGTAGGCACACAGTCTCCATTCAGAGCAGGGACACCCCCATGCTTCTTCCCACTGTGGCTTTTTTTTCCTTTTTAAAATCATTTTATTGGGGGCTCATACAGCTCATCACAATCCATCCATCCATCCATCCGTTGTGTCAAGCACATTTGTTGCCATCTTCATTCTCAAAACGTGGACACGTTGTGCTACACCCTTGGGTCCTAAGAGGAAGTGAGTCCTTTGATGGGTGGCGAAGTAAACCTGTTTCTTTCGGAGCCAGTGAGGCCTGGGGCGTTCCAGAGTTCTCTGGAGCAGAGAAACACTGGATCACAGTCCTCTAGGGGGTGGTGTAATAGAATGTAGGGATCACGAAAAACTTGGCAATCGTAACACGTCCTCCGTGCACGGCCAAATTCATTCCAAACTGAACGCGGCCTGGGTCCGAGGTGCTTCCAGCAGCACTTGCCCTGGTTACGTCACATGCCTTCCCTGCTCCCTGCCACGATACACAGAGACGTCACTTGAGGTGGATGCTTGGTAAAGTGGAGGGATGGTGAAAAAGAGAAAGGCCCTCAGAGATGGCGCGGGGCCAGGTAGTGTTTTGTTCTATCGTGCAGGCAGTCGCTATGGGTCCAAACCAGCTTGTTAGGACGTAACAGGAACGAATGACCAGGTGGGAGTACTCACGGGAGGTGCTTTTGCTAACCAAAGGGACTGGCAAGCTTGCTAAGGTTAGCAAACTTGTGGGGATGAGACCAAGCAAATAAGGTGTATGGAACTCCAAAAGGGAGTTCTGCTATCCCACTAGGCTTACAAGAAAGCCAGTCCCACAACCTATGTGGACTTCATAAGCACCGGGAAAGATTGGCGGTCAAGGCGTCTCCTGGACCCAGGTCTCCCAGCTCTGGGATCCCGGGTCCAGGAGAGCGAGAGACCTGTTTCATGAGAGGCAGTGGGAAACAGCAGCAGGTAAAGAGCGGCGGCAGAACAAGGATCCTTGTAAATTTCCAGCAGGTGGCAGCAGAGCGAGTGTCCCAGCAAATGGAGTAAGATTGCTGGGACCTCTGGGCAGGGGAGTCATTGGCAAAGTTGTCTCTGTGCACTTGGTGGGATTCACTCTAACAATGAGTTAGATCAGAGCACCTTGTAACAAGGCTTACTGGTGAAGTGGGATCCCTCTGGGCACTCGTTGGCAGAGACCGAGCTTTTAGCACTTGCCCGAGCAGAACAGCGGTCACCAAGGGGCTCAGGGTCAGAGAGAAATGT